AAGCCAAAGACAAATCAGGCGGAGAACCCTCTCATGAATCATTCACTGCTTTACCAATTGGTGGCAGTTTTTGAGCCTATACTGTACACGGTTTTTTTATTAAGCAAGGATTTATTAAATTGAGCAACTTTCTATTTAAAATAAATGCTCTTATATGAACTTTCTATACCTCAAACATAATAAAAAATATTTCGTGAGCCTGATTTCTGGATCATGTGACACTGAAGACGAGTAAAGATAAAAAAAATTAATCTGGGCAGTGGACACTGACAAGATTAAATTACTTTCTAAAATATATTCAAATAGAAGTTTTTTTAAATTGGAATAGTATTTCACAACGCCACTGTTTTTACTGTATTTTTATCAAATAATTGCAGAATGTTAAGAAAAAACAAAGATAATTTTTTAAAAAATCTTATCGACCCCAAACTTTTAAATGGTAATGTAGTGAGCCGCATTGTCGTTTTTTTTTTTTTTTTTTTAACATATACTTTTAACGGGTTAGAGTGACATATTGATCGCAAATGAGTTCATGATGGAACATTTTATGGTATTTTATGGCACTTTTGTGTCTTGACAGATCTAGTCCCCATTTATTTATATTGGGCATATTTTAACACTTTCTACAAATCTAATTTTGTCCTCCCCCAGAAGAAAGTTTGTAATGGCAGTCTTTTGGTTTTTGGCAAGTAAAAAATGACAGAACTTTCTTATGGAAAACAACCTGCAGTTAAACTTAAGTGAGACAGTGGAGTTGGTGGTGGATTTTCACACAGCAACCATTCATAATGAACAAATGGGGAAGGTACAAAGCCACAAATAGATCGAAAATCCATCGAACAACAGACTGGACTGACAGCACAGCGAGGCTGTAGAAGAAAACCCAGAGCAGACTGTACTTTCTGAAGGAGCTGTCAGATATGTTCAACCAGTCTACGCTACAAAAGAAGATGGTGCATGGGGCAATTGGAGACTGTAACAAACAATTCACCAAGTACATGCTCCCTACAGCTGCCATTACGATTAGGAGGTGCAAAGTGTCTTCTCCAGCACTCATCTGCATGTTACTCCTGGCGGTCACTGCAGTGGGGAGTAATGTCATTAAACACGTGTACATTCTTCTATTTTTGGATCCATTAACATAATGCATTCTGATTTGTCTGTGTATATGATGCTATTGCATTGTGTGTGTGTTCTTGCACTGCTTCCAACGTGGAAGCGGGTCGGTATACCTGCTTCTGGGTGTAAGGACGACTACAGGGAAAGTGGAAGAAGAAACAGATTCTATTAAGATAAACCTATATTTACAAGGAGTACACCATCTTAGCGCCTGTGATCTTTGTGAAAACGATTTCATGTTAGCCATTATGGATCCTAAAAAAGAATTTTAAGTTTAGATACACATCAGATATTGGTTCTCTCCGGTTTATTGAACGCAAAACACAACCAGCTCTCTGAACTGGTAAACAGTGGTTAGCACTTTCTTTTTTCGACTTTAGTTTTCTAATCTGCATGGATATATTTTTCCCCGTAGTCTGATCTCAAGGTTTTTTTGAGGTTCTCAAAAAAAGTTAATTTTACCAAACAAACCCTACTTTATCAATTCCTCCAGCTTCCCTTTCATAAGTTTGTTGCTGAAGTATGTATGTAATATAATGTGTGTAATAAATGCTTATTTACTTCTAAACATAAACCGCAAAGTGTGTGTGTGTCTGTCTGCATGTGTGTCTTTCTCTCTTTGAGAGTGTGTAGTGTACATGTATACCTTACAATGTGAAAACACTGCGTTACAAAAGAGCAAGCTGAGGATGGCCAGGGGCAACCATGGTCAGACGAGCTGTGGTACATTATTACATAAGCCCTATAAGCAATATGCACATGAACAGCTCTAAGGAGGTAGGAAAAGATAAATTAGTACAAGAGTGGACTGAAAATAACAATAACAATAAAAATAATAATAATTATCATTATTAAATAAATATATAATAAAACATTTAAAAAATGAATAAGAACATAAATAAACAAATACAATAAATAATAATGATAAATAACCCCTATAATTGTCAGGCTTGAAAGCTGATTCAGCAGGTGATTCCGCTTCAATATTTGACGCTTTAGGCGCCCTTTAGCGTCAGTTAGATGACGCCCTAGGATCGCGTCATGTAACTGACGCTAAAGGGCGCCTAAAGCGTCAAATATTGAAGCATGGTCAAAAGGTGACGCCTTGGGGTGAGAATGTGTTGCAAAAGCACTTGTGAAATCATTTAATTTCCCAGTCATTGAGAGCTCCTGCTGTCACTGATTACCCAAACATCAACCTACGAAAAGCTTCTTTAACAAATTTGAATTCACCACAGTTGTTTCTATACTTAAGGAAATTAGAGAGAAATATGTCCTCCTTTTGCTGTTCTAACAAGGTAAAAAAAAAAGCCTTATAAAAGTTGACTTTTTTTGCCCCCAGCTGTGTGTCTCGATTGCCCTATATACTGGCAAAACTCAAACAAACTATTCTGTCCCCATACAAAAGAGAAGAGCAGGGATGATCTGGGTAAATGAGGGACAGAGACACAAAGCATCAGAAACACCTGCACTCGTCAAAGGCTTCATTATTTTGAGGTAGACATGTTGCATATGACGATATAAAAGGCATATGGGGAAAAAAATTGCTTGAACGATTTGACAAATTCACTGAATTATGCTCAAAGATTGGATCGTTTTTGGCTATTACATAATTGACAATAATGAAGTGCTTTTTACGCCTCGTTCAACCAGCCAACAGCAATGTAAAGCCTGCTGTGTTTTGGGGTTTCAACAAAAATGATAAAGAAGGTTTTAAAGTCAAACCAAATCAAGTCTCATCTTTTTTGGAAAATATTTTTTGAAACCTTTTCATCCTAACTTCATAAAGAAAACATAAAATACTTCTACTACAACACCGAGATCCAGTTCCTGCCAAAACTCTCTCCAATTTATTCAAAAAATCACTTATTTACCACTTCCACATCACCGGCATATTATAACTGCAAAATCATACTGTAAATAATTATCAGCGCTACAATTCTAAAATGTTAAGAGAATTTTTTTATCCATCCAATTTTAAAATCACCATCAGCATGGAGCCTCAGTGGGCAGCATATCGGCACTGACTTTAGATATATTTCAAATGTACCGTGGTGAAATTGTGGGAAGGATGAGGCTCTTACCTTCCCTTATATTTACACTCAACCTCTGATTTTTATTTTTGACAGGTATTAGCCTACATATTTCTTGACTCTTTTTGACTTGTGCCAACTGACGTCTGTGAAAGAGTTCATTCATCCAGATACAGAATGCATTAACTTTCTAATGTAAAAATCCTTGACAAGAAAATAAATGTAAATTTAAATGCAAGAATCAATTATCCAGCCCATTCAGATTCTGTCAGCATATTTGAATTAGTAAAGGGATGAGGCAGGATGTCCAAAAACAACATTAGACGAGCTTAACAACCTCATCTGAACTGGAATTCTGAATTATTTCACTTACTGCATTGATTAAACATTAAACGAAGATCACAGTGACATGGGAGCTCAGAGAATACAAACATCAACTTCTCGTTAAAACAGTGACTGTGCTCAGGAGCCCTTTTTTCTCAAAAGATACAAGTTCTGCCTCAGATTTGGTAAAGAGTGTGTGGGAGATCTGGAGACCCTTGGAGGTCAGAGAGCTGCTCACGGCAAATGTCAGGGCATTATGAGCTGAGGGTACCGCATGAAAACACACACACACACACATGCATAGTTTATCAGACAGAACTCTCTGGTCTCAAAATACAAAAACACCAAATTTATGCCTTCAACTTTTAAGTCTGTATATTTGTTTGCAGGGATATAAATAGGTTTTGATGCAGTAATCATGTGTGACCTCTGCTGGTGAAGTCCTGTGGCAGATTCACATAGAAAATGTATGTGACACAAAATGACTGCAATTCACACTACTACAAGCGCGAAGCCCTTCGCAAATGAGAAGATCCATGCAAAGCAGCCAAGAAAAACAGCATCAACTTTAAATGAACTTTTGCCGTGTTCAAAAATAATTTAATGATATAAGCAATTGAGAAATTAACATAAACCCATGAAGATTCTAAACCCTCTTTGACTCTTTGAATAATAATAATATTATTAATAATAATAATAATACAATGATAATAATCATTTTTATTATATAGCATATTATTATAAATGCAACTGAAAATGCATTAAAAAGTGAGTACAAGTTCCGATCAAACATTATGAACCTGAAGTGCTAGTTAAAACCTTTGGTTTAAAGTTTAACAGGTAAGCTGGAAAGGCTATTCGTGTGACGAACTGGCTGTTGGCGAGACTCCACACAAAATACATACACGCACTTTTCACAAGAGTCAATTGTGAGATTTACCCCGAAGGTTGCAGATGTCATCAAATAATATGAAATATTGTAATTATTATTTTCAATGTTGAAAATAATTTGTAATTGCTTACTATTTTTGTGAATTTTTTTATTTTATTTTTTCAGAGTTTTCTTACTGATGCATCATTGTTGCTGATAATGCATAGTAGAAAGGTAATGTTTTGAGAAGCAATTGGGCAATGTGCTATTAACAGTGTATAATTACTATAATGGTAATGGTACGATCATGTTTTGCACACGTTTTGCTGTATTGTAGCTCTTTTTAATATTAAGCAAAAAAACAATAATATAAGTTAATGTATTTAACAATAAAGTTCTGTCAATAAAGAAGAGTATCTAGAAGTGACTATACGTATATTCGCGTCGTATGCAAATATTCAAGCTTACTTTGATCAGATAAGGTTTGGAATTTTTTCTATAAAGAAACGTACAAGCTTTGTTTTACGCATAATTCTGAGCAAATACACTAAAGTTAAAAAAAAGCGCGAGAGAATGTATTCATATCTTATGACATCAGACTTTCCCTCTTTGCTTTATCGGGTATTGCAATCTGAAGAAACCGATCATCTTACCACTTGAGCGACGGACAATATTTTCCAAAAAAGTGTTCTGTGGTGCCACCAGTCCTCTTTTTCCCCCGTGCATTCTGTGGTCAGGCAGTGTCGTTCAGGCTCGCGGACTTGGTGGAAGCTGGTCGTAAAAGTGATGCAGGCGGGATGGGAATCTATCGGTGGGATGGAGAAGATCATTGTAACGATGCGCCGTGCCTGACTGTTATGGGTCCTTTGTACCACAGAGCGCTCGCAGTTCTGCAGGCTCCGCGCTCCCCTTATCTGCGCCTGCGCACTTGCAAACTGTAACAATACAATTTGACTGGCACAGGAATCTCTACATCGATGCCCGGTGCCATGGAAATAGTCTCATGCAACAGATGGCGCCAATTGCGCGCGACATAAAAGCTCACTCAGAGTTAGGCTAAAAGTGAACTGAACAATTGTTTATAAACAGTAGCGGAATGCTATTATTTATGGCAGGGGGAAGGAAGGAAATCTTCGCGCAATATTAATGGTGTCAGACCTGTCTATGATAGATTCTCAAAGCCTTATAATAGTTGACTGGCTGTCCAGGCTGTCTCGTTTGCCTTATTGGTCTGACAAAACTCAAACAAACTCCACTGTCCCCAAACAAAGGAGAAAACCAGGTGAGCTGGGTAAATGAGGGACAAAGAAGCCTCAGAAACATCCAAGTGCAATTTAAAGCCTGGTGTGTTTTAGGGTTTCAACTAAAATGATGGAGGTGAGCCACAGAGCGTGTTCTTGTTCTGGAGCAACAGTCTCATGAAAGTGCGTATTTACCACGAATGTCATTTCTCGTGCCATTTATACGCCAATGCGTGCAGCTATACGCACTGAAAACCCCTTGGGTAGGTTTAGGGGGGTTAGGGGGGAGTTCGTGCGCATTACACGCCATAAAGTGCGTATGCACGGAAAAACTGCATCATATAGATGCAAAAACTATTTTTGGCGTATAAATCGCACGAGAAATACCATTAGTTCTAGAAACGAACTTTCATAAGATCGGGTTCTCTGGAGTCAATAAAAATTGACTGGCACAGGAATTTCGATGCCGGTCCCATGTGGATATATAAAAACCCAGTTAGGCCTACAGCAAATGAATAATATCATCTTAATTGTTCCAAACTACGCCAATATCAACGGTGAATATTTTATAGCATATCTTTCACCAACATTCTGCATGAATTAGCCTTAGGTTAAAACAGTTTATCATCACGAGACTGCCGCTCCTGAAGAAAAGGAACATCGAATAGGCCTACATTTATTTGAACGAAACTATAGATATTGCTTGACAAACATTAGTGGATTTCTTCTTCTGAATTTAAAAAGAAAGAAAGAAAGAAAGAAAGGACAGAAAGAAAGAAAGAAAGAAAGAAAGAAAGAAAGAAAGAAAGAAAGAAAGAAAGAAAGAAAGAAAGTCCAACTCAAGCCATCCTTCCCTGTGGGCTGTGGCGCCATATTTTCGGAAATGCAGTTAGATTGGGGACGTCCTCCCTCCCGCCCCTCCTGTGCCGCTGAAGTCCCCTGTCGGAGTAGGCTGTGGACAGAGCCCCTATTGTTCCCAGCCCACTCCTGCCTAATATGGAATTTCGCAAGGAAACCAATGCTTTCCTGACACTGACGATGCGTAGCAGCGTAGGGGCGAATGTGGAAAGCTGTTTGGAGTATGAAGGGGAGTAGGCTAAACCAGGGTCAAAGACACCGCTTTTGTATTGGTTTTGTCGCCGGACCTGGAAAATGTAAAATGACGGAAATCAAGTTGTAGGAGTTATCGTGAGTTTTATGAAACTGCTCTCCATGGCGCCGTTTTGTTTCGGAAGCGCGAGCTAAAGCGTGTGTCGCCTACTTGACGAATTTGCCTGCACACCTTACGACACGTAAACTCGATTGTTTAAACTGGTCAACCCAAGATTAACGTGTCAAATATTTATATATCTGTCGACAGAAGACTTGACTACCTGTGGTGAATATAGTTTCTGGACTTGTCCAACTATCATGCATACTCTCAGCTCGAAAAGTAGGCAGAATACAGTGGACGCGGTTGAGGATGGAGGCAGTAACAGCAATCGTGTCGATACTACGACCAAGATGATGTTGAAATGTGTTGTGGTCGGCGATGGAGCGGTGGGAAAAACCTGTTTGCTTATGAGTTACGCAAATGATGCTTTTCCCGAAGAATATGTGCCAACTGTATTCGATCATTACGCAGGTAAGTTGGTGTCTAGCTCAACGCATTCAACTGCAATCCCTGTTCAAGAAGTGAAGTTTACAGCATGTCTACCTAATCTTAGTCTACCCCACACACAGTCGGGTAAGGGACGGTCCCAAGAATAGCCGTCTGAAAGAGGAGATATCAACTGCCAGAGCGAGGACTGCAGGGCCGACAGACTAAAAAGTATAAACGGGGTACGGGGGAGGGTCTGCCTCCACAAATATAGGTTAATCAAAAATATATAATAATGCAAAAATAATTAAGTGTTTGTTATGTGGTGCTTAAAACTTATTTAAAGTAGTTTCTTACTGTGCTAGGGACGTCAAATACACTTCATGTTCCGCGAGACGGGTGAATGGTAGCGAGCTGCATGTCAGAGCTCGCGTGCCGCGGTGATACCTGTTGATCACATGAGCAGACGAGGTCTAAACGCGCTGTCAATACTGTACTTTATGCATCTTTGTGGAACAACAGTGTTTTGCACAAATGTGTTGCCAGTTATTAAATTTGCCATCTATTAAAGGGATATTCCAGCCAAAACAATGAAAATTCTGTCATCATTTACTCACCCTCAAGTTGTTGCAAACCTGTATGAATTTCTTTCTTCTGATGAACACAAATGAAGATATTTTTTGAAAAAAAAAAAAAAAAAAAAATGGAACTTTGCCACCATTGACTTCCATAGTAAATATATATATATATATATATTAGGGCTGTGGAAAAATTAATTGCGATTAATCGCATCCAAAATCAAAGTCTGTGTTTACATATATTTGTGTGTGCTGTATATAATTATTTTGTATATAAATACCTATGCATACATGTATATATTTAAGAATTATTTGCGCTTAAATTCTGTATGTATATATATATATATATATATATATATATATATATATATATATATATACATAATCTATATTATATTATATAAATATTTTATATATGAATAACACATTTTCTTAAATATATACATGCATGTGTGTGTATTTATACAAAATAATTATATACAGCACACAAAAATATATTATGTAATCAGACTTTTATTTTGGATGCGATTACGATTAATCGCACGTAATTTTTGCACAGCCCTAATATATATTTCTACTATGGAAGTCAATGGTGCCAAAAACTGTTTTAGTAACTGTATACTCTATACTCATCAGAAAGAAACTTGAGGGTGAGTAAATGATGACAGAATTTTCATTTTTGGGTGGAGTATCCCTTTAAGTTTTTTTTTTCTCTCATTCTCTCACGCATATGGATGACAGCATAAGGCTTTGGTTTCTTTGCAAGGAAAGCCCCCTTGATACATGCATGCTCTGATAATCATATGAGGGTCAAGTCCTAATTACACAGTGGCAGACAGGTCAGCTTCAACATCCTCTGAGAGTGATACAGCCCTGTGAGAACAGCAGGGCATTTCCCTCATAAATATAATATATGACAAAACAAAGAACTTATAGGAAGAAATATTACCAACAATATATTTTACTATCAGTTTTCCCTTACAGTTCTCCCAAGCACTCCAAAATGTAGCTTGTTAACACTTTTAAAGTGATGAGTGCTACTAAAGTAGACATTCCCAATGCAATGCTTGTCTTTTTTCTTTTGGTGTAACAGTGGGAAAAGTTATCATTTTTACAGACTAGAGCGAAAAAAGGAATACAGAGATTGTCTTATTTCATATGTTCGCAAAGTATCTTATCCACCGAGCTTCATCTTCAAAAGATGAATGGAAAAATCTTTGTGAAAATTATAAAATATATCTTTATGGCTCTCATTTGTGAAAGCTCAAAAACCTTAAAGCAGGTATCTCAAATGATTTTTTTTTCCAATGTGCAATTTGATCAAATAAGGCATGTTTATCTGGTCAATTTCATTTTTATGAGATTTTAATAGTATCCTGTGATGTAATTTTCTCCAGCTGGTCATTGCAGGCTCAAGACATAAAAACAGACTGAAATAATTCAAGGAGTGAGTAAAACTTTTAAACTCTTGGCAGTTGAATGAGATGGAAAGATTTTCAAGGAGTGTGATTCTTGGTCAACTCCTCTGGTTAAATGAAGCTGATAAGTTATGATGTGGAGGCCGTCCAGAGGACACCTAAATGTATGTTGTCACAGACCAAACCTTTTAATGGAGACATGTTAAAAAAAAAAAAAAAGGAATGAAGAGCCGGACAGAGTAGCATCTAACTTTATGGTTTTTAAAGGTGTGGTGTGTATTTTATTTCAATGTTTAAAATATTTAAACATGTTATAAAATAAGAAATATTTTTTATAATTAATTTTGTTTACATTAGTGGTGCATACATCACAGTGGACACATAAAGACATTTTTATTTGGTCCAGTGTGCTGAAAACATTGAATGCATGGTATGTAACACTTTTTAGGTAGAATGCCATCAGTACATGAGGGTAAAACCCTTTAAGTTTTATTTTTTGGAATACTTTTATATTGCCCATCCAGGAAGAGGTGTTTTTGGTATCAATACATACAACACTTCCTTGTATTATAGAGAGAGTGAAAGGTAAATTGAGAGAGAACAGTAACAATATTCTTCTATAGTGCCAATCAATCACTTACATTCATGTTAGGTCCCACTACTGTCTCCACATTGAGAGGGGCCTTAACACTGCATCATAATAAAGTAGTGAATTGTCACATAGTGGCAATGTCCAGACTAAAGAGCACAGAGCTCCCATTGTAGGCCACTGAAAGCTTTACTGTGCTGCTATGCTAGAATTGGTCTTAAATAAAAAACTCTGCATTTATACCATTCATGCTCCAGCAGTAATTGAACAGTTTGCAATATAACACATTGGGAATACTCCAATCAAATTATTAGCGAAAATATAATTAACAAATATGCACTTTTTCAAAACTAAGGAATCCAAGCAGCAGGTATTTGGGTATATATTTATATTGTTTAAATATTTAAATAATTTAAATACAGTTTTTTTGGTAACACTTCACAATAAGGTTCATTAGTTAACATTAGTTAATGTATTAACTAACATGAACTAACCCTGAGCAATTCATCTATTACTGTATTTGTTCATCTTTGTTAAAGTTAGTTTATAAAAATGCAGCTGTTCATTGTTGGTTCATGTTAGTTCACAGTGCATTAACTGAGATTTTAATAAAGTATTAGTAAATCTTTAAATTAACACCAACTAATGAACCTTATTGTAAAGTGTTACCGTTTTGTTTTAATATATATTACTGTTCAAAGTTTGGAGTGTTTTTTTTACTTTTTGGAGTCATTTTGTGATGTTTTGAAAGACGTCTCTTATGCTGCTCATAAAGATTTAAATAAACATATCATTCAATAAACATGAATTATTCTAATTATTATCAGTGTTTGAAACAACTGCTCAATATATTTATGAAAACCATGTTTTTTTTTAACCATGTAAGTCTTTACTGTCACTTTTGATCAATTTAAAGCATCCTTGCTAGATAAAATAAAATAAAAAAATCTTACAGAACTCAATTTTTTTTAACATGAGTGTACTGAAGATGATATTTTAGTAAAGCATTTCACCTTTCAAGATAGTTTGTTGTTTAAAACAATCTATTCTTATTTAGTTGAGTTACCGACTTGCTGACAGAACTCTTCAAATAAGGCCAAATATAATATATTCATCAGGAGTGAATTGACATTATATTCTTTTCACCAGAACCACTGTGATTGCAACCTATTAGAGTCAGACCTCAACCCAGGAGTATGTGGGACTATGGTTTCCATCAATAAATCCCATGGGATCAGAATTCCCTTGTCCAAAACAAACCAATGACATTCCCGGGCCATGACACATGTGCCTGCTAATGTGTTTGAGATGAGTCATCGTCTAGTGTGGCTCCCACTAGACTCCTAACAAAATCAACTAATCCGCCAATTATATTGCATTGTAGATATTCCAACATGGACAATACTGAAATGTCATTTGGGGGGAAAAAAGAGACTAGATTTGACACAAGAGGTAACATTAAACAACAATCCAGCACAGGACTGAAAACACAAGGAGAATAAGGCTATGTTTACACGGAAACGATTCTGAAGAGAAAACGCAAAAGTGGCGTTGCGTCATCACTTTTTATTCTGCGTTTAGACGAGTGTTTTGAGTGGGAAATTCGCGTGCAAATGGTGACGCAAAAGTCTGTGAAATTCATTGTAGTATGCACTCCAGGTGGCTAGAAGTGCATACTACAGCAACACCAAGTCCACGCGCCTGCACTTTTACGTTTTTACCCTTTACACGCGACGGTGGAGCGTTTTTAAGATTTCCACTCTGGAGGGTGGTTTCACTTTTTTGAGTTTTTAAGCCTCAAAACCGCCGTCGCCGTGTATACGAAAGGCACATCCGATAAAATATTTTTACGTTTTCACCCGCGAGCGTTCTCGTGTAAACAGAACCTAAATAGGACGCAAACAAGGCAGGTAACAAGGGAGTCAAATTAACCAATAATTAGGTAACAAGATGGGCGGGGCAAGACTTGTATCAACAGGAGAGCACATGGCAGGCATAGACATAATAGGGAGTGAAGATGCCTTATTGACCGCTACTGGCGCTGACGAGCCATGGGGCCGCCATCTTGGACCGGTCACCCAATTTGGCAGGTGCAATGAGCTGTCAGCGCATTTAATTAATCATACCTCACTGAAAAACTTTGCTGCAAAGGCAATACATGTAGCTATTATACAGGACACATGGTTCGGTGTAAATTAAAAAACCTAATGTTCCAAAACAAAACTGGGACAGAGGTAGTTTTTTTCTGTATTTAGCCAGGGACAGGCTAGTCTCGCGTAGCCAGACCTTCAGACTGACGGCTGAAGGTCTGGAATTCATAGCAGCTTTCTTTGGCCAAGGCCCGCCCATAAGGCCGTTTGACCGACATGTCAAACAACCAATTACAGTTCGTTTCATTCAGCGTCACGTTTCGGGGCGTGGAAATGTCCCCACAACATCAGACCGGCGTGCAACAAGTCA